GCGCCGGACCTGGAGGGGCTCTGCTCCGAGCTCGCACGCGTGAGTCCCGCCGGCATTCCCGGCACATTCCGGCATTCCCGGCTCGCTCCGGCATTCCCGGCTCGCTCCGGCATTCCTGGTTTGCTCCCACATTCCCGGCTCACTCCTGGTGYGCTCYRGCATTCCCAGCACATTCTGCCATTCCCAACACACTCTGGCATTCCCGGCACTTTCCAGCATTCCCGGCTCGCTCCCAGCACGCTGTGGCATTCCCATCTCACTCCCGCATTTCCGGCTCACTCTGGCATTCCTGGCTCATTCCCAGCACGCTCCGGCATTCCTGTCTCGCTCCGGCATCCCCAGCTCACTCCGGCATTCCCGGCTCGCTCTGGCATTCCCAGCACATTCTAGCATTCCCAGCTCACTCCGGCATTCCTAGCTCATTCCCAACGCACTCCGGCATTCCCGGCACATTCCAGCATTCCCAGCTCGCTCCGGCATTCCCAGCTCGCTCCCGGGTTGCTGCAGCCTTCCTGGCTTGCTCAGGTGCTCCCTGCTCCCCCTGCTTCTCCCAATCCACCTTGGCATTCCCAGCTCACTCCTGGTCCATTCCAGCGCTCCCAGATCCCTCCAGCATTCCTGGCTTGCTCAAGTGCTCCCTGCTCGCTCCCATGTTCCTGTCTCACTCCCAACTCGCTCCAGCTTCCCTTGGACGCATCCCCCTTGCTCCCACATTCCCGCTCCGCTCCCACATTCCCACATTCCCGCTCCGCAGGTGCTGTGCGCGCCGCCGGAGCGCTACGCCGCCTTCTGCGTGGCCGAGGGCCGCGCGCAGGACGCGGCGCTGGAGCCGCCCGCATCCCACTCGGATCCCGCCGGGATCCCGGCCGGATCCCGCCCGGCTCCGCAGCCGCTCCGGCCCGGCCGCCGCCCGCCCAGTGCCGACGACTTCGTCCTGCTGTGACACCCCCCGGATCCCTCGGGATGCGGTGCCGGAGCCGGCGGCTTCATCCTCCCGTGACGCCCCCCTGGATCCCTCGGGATGCGGCGCCGGAGCCGGCGGCTTCGTCCTCCTGTGACGCCCCCCTGGATCCCTCGGGATGCGGCACCGGAGCCGGCGGCGCCGCGCAGGGACCCCTCAGGTCTGTTGCTTCACTACTGCTCCCGGCAGGGTCGGATCCGTGTGGGAAGAGGCGGATCCGCCCGGGAAGAGCCGGGAAGGGAGCTCAGGGCGGCCGTTCTCCCCCTCGCCACGGGAAGGGCGGACGATGCCCTCGGCCCCGGCACAAGCTGCTGGAACGGACGCTCCGGGTTATTTATTGCGCGCGGCTCCACTCAGGATTTCCCCCCCTTCCCTTTTTTGCCCGAATCCGGCTCCCGCYGGGAATTAAAGCTCTGCCGGGGCCGCCGCTCTTCCCGCTTCCGCTGGCGCCGCAGCAGCTGCCGGTAGCGGAGGCGCCGCGGGTTGAGGCCAAAGGCTTCCAGGCGCTTCCCGGAGAAATCCCGGCCGCCGAGACGCACGGACGCTCCCAAGGGCGCCGCTCGCCGGGGAYGCGGCCGCTCCGGCCGCTTCTCCGGACGCTCCGGATGCTCCGGCTTTTCCGGCTGCGGCTCCGGCTCCGCTCCGGCCGCCTCCTTCCGCTTCCACCGCTTTTCCCGCTGTTTCTTCCCTGCCTTGGCCTTGGCCGCCGGCTCCGGCTCCTCGGGGCTGCGGCGACGGAGACGGGAGCTGAGCCGGGATTGGCGACGGCGCTGCCGCCTCCCGCCCCATCCCCATCCCCATCCCCATCCGTACGGAGCCGAGAGGGATTTCAGGATCTGCTGCTTCTTGCGGACGTCGCGGGCGCGGCGGCTGTAGTTGGCCTGATCCTGGCGCTCCTCCCGCTCCGAGCTGGGAACGGCAGCGGCTCAGCGGGACGTGGGACCCCCAATCCCCGCGGGCCCCCCAATCCCTGCAGGACCCCCTCGATCCCCGCGGGACCCCCCCATCCCCGCAGCGGCCCCCCGATCCCCGCGGGGACCCCCAACTCCCGCGGGGACCCCCCGATCCCCGCGGGGGCCCCCCGATCCCCGCGGGGGACCCCAATCCCTGC